GTTGGATCCGGAGGTTGGTGGGGTGGTACGTGAGGACGAGGGGGATTTTTTTTTGGTTCTTATTGCATGGACGGGGTGTGAGGGATGAGGTGCGGGAGATGTGGAAGACACGGTTGAGGGCGTTCTTGACCACAGAGGGGGGCGAAGTTACGGTCCTTGAAAAACGAGGACAACTGAGATGTACGGGAGTGGAATGCCTCATCCTGGGAGCAGATGCGGCAGAGGCGAAGGAATTGGGAATAGGGGATAGCATTTTTGCAGGAAGGTGGGTGGGAGGAGGAGTATTCTAGGTAGCTGTGGGAGTCGGTGGGCTTGAAATGAATATCGGTTTCTAGGTGGTTGCCCGATATGGAGACAGAGAGGTCCAGGAAGGGGAGAGAGGTGTTAGAGATGGTCCAGGTAAACTTAAGGTTGGGGTGGAAGGTGTTAGTGAAGTGGATGAACTGTTCGAGCTCCTCGTGGGAGCACGAGGCGGCGCCGATACAGTCATCAGTGTAACGGAGGAAGAGGTGGGGTTTAGGGCCGGTGTAGGTACGGAAGAGGGATTGTTCCACGTAACCTACAAAGAGGCAGGTGTAGCTTGGGCCCATGTGGGTACCCATGGCCACCCCCTTTGTCGGTAGGAAGTGGGAGGAATTGAAAGTTGTTGAGTGTGAGGACGAGTTCGGCTAAGCGGATGAGGGTATCAGTGGAGGGGGACTGGTCGGGCCTGCGGGACAGGAAGAAGCAGAGGGCCTTTAGGCCAACTGTATGGGGAATGCAGGTGTAGAGGGACTGGACGTCCATGGTAAAGATGAGGTGTTGGGGGACCGGGGTATTGGAAGTTCTGGAGGAGGTGGAGGGCGTGGGTGGTGTCACGGACATAGGTAGGGAGTTCTCGGACCAAGGGGGAGAAAATGGAGTCTAGATAGTTGGAGATCAGTTCGGTGGGGCAGGAGCAGGCGGTGACAATGGGTCGACCAGGGCATTCAAGTTTGTGGATTTTGGGAAGGAGATAGAAGCGGGCAGTGCGAGGTTGGGGAACGATGAGGTTGGAGGCCGTGGACGGGAGGTCACCCGAGGTGATGAGGTTGTGGATGGTTTGGGAGATGATGGTTTGATGGTCGGGGGTGGGGTCATGATCAAGGGGGCGGTAGGAGGTGGTGTCGGAGAGTTGGCGTCCGGCCTTGGCGATGTAGAGGTCAGTGCGCCATACTACAACTGCGCCTCCCTTGTCCGCGGGTTTTACGGTGAAGTTGGGATTGGAGCGGAGGGAGCGGAGGGCTGCACGTTCTGCAGGGGAGAGGTTGGAGTGGGTGAGAGGGATGGAGAGGTTGAGGCGATTGATGTCCATCCTCAGTCAATATTCCCTCGAAACGAGTGAAATGTGGCAACTCTGACAGTGAAACAGACAGGCCAGAAAGTTCCCTTTAAATTGCATGTGAGCATGACTGTACAACAATCATATTGAGGCCATATAGTGTATATTTAACAGATGGAATATTCTACAGTCATCCTCTCTCCAATGCAACAACTTCTCCCTGGTTCTGAGACAGTAAGAACTACCAATGCTGGAGTCAGAGATAACAGTGTGGAGCTGGATGAACACAGCAGGCCAGGCAACATCAGAGGAGCAGGAAAGTTGACGTTTCATTTCTGAAGAAAGATCCCGACCTGAAACGTCAACTTTCCTGCTGCTCTGATGCTGCCTGGCCTGCTGTGTTCATCCAGCTCCACACTGTTATCTCTCACTGGTTCCTGCAGGCATGCTCAAGGCAAGAGAGTTTACAATCAGGAACAGTTTGACTGGAATCTGTAGCAGTTCCAGAAGGTGTAAGGTAATTCTATGTTGTGACATGCATCCCCCAAGATCTCTCAGCTCTCTGTAACAACCCTCTTCCCCGCCATCTTTTATGTATCGTGCTGGTGGTATAAAGGAGGCTACCAGGTGTAAGTTTTTAAAAGGTGCAAGAAAGCAATTAACCTCATCCAGGATGAAGGCCAGATCACGAGCAGCCTTCATTGTACAGACCGCACAGTAGGATGATACCCCCAGTGGGATGACCACTTCCACCCAATGTGATGAAGCTGCCCTGCAGCAAATGCAACTGTAGAAGCATTCCTAAAGCACTTCCAAGAGCCATTTCAGATTTTTCCAGCTGCCAAACTCCTTAGTTCACTTCAATCAGTTCTCCCTGCAATTGTTGTGTCTCAGTCTGTCTTACTAGCATGTATCAGTTGCACAAACCCAGGAATCTTTTGGCTACTGTGCAATTATCCCTCAATCCAAAATTTACACATGACTCAGCACGAAATCATTGCAGATTGTGTGAAGATCCAAAAAACATGTTCAGGACTGAAGGAAGCATTTTAAAAGTTCCCAAATAGTTGAAATAGCTTCCAGCCAAATTCTCACACCAAAATATGTCCTGTAATGTTCCTGCAGACAAATATATCAATAAAAGCAAGGAAACCCACTGATATACCTTCAAACTGGTAAACATATATATAGGCAAAGATTGAATTGATGTCGTTTGACAGTTTCTACAAGTTCTTAGAGAATTAAGAAATATGTAGAGGGTTTGAAAATTTGGACTCATTTTAAGCAGAATTCTGAAATATTATACAAATAAGATTTTGGGATAATCTACAGTTTGATTTTGTGAACAAAATATTCTAATTGGAATTTTATCTGTAAATGAAATTCCAAGTTAAAATTCAAAGAATGAGATTTATTTAATGGCTGCATTAGAGTGAATCAGATATTACCAGGCGTCTCCTCCTGCCCCTTAATTTTCTTGGGAATCTTCAGTGATTTGCTGGAGGTTGCAGGAGTTGCTGTGAGCAGAATATAAATAAGAAAAATATCACTCATCACAAAGTAATAAAAAGCCTCAGTAATTAGTGGTCAAAGGAGAAACAATCCTATGCATTGTTAGCAAAGACCAATATAATTACTGTGGGTCAGCGGTAGCAAAATTATATTCAATGACTATTTGCAACTGCATTGCCTAGTTTATCCCTCATTCTAGCATTAATATCAAACAGAGTTTAACTTATCAGATCTGTGACATTTCATCAGAATGGTCCATGTACTGAGTTGCGGTGAAAAGTCACAGTGCTGAAACGTTAACCCTTTTTCCTTCCACTGATGCTGCCAGACAGCTGAATGTTGTGCTTACATAGGCTTTAGGTCTCTGGAACAAACTGTGATGATGTTGCATAGCTACTCCTCAGTGGGCATAAATAGCACAATATGGGTGGAATTAAGAGGGAAAAAACATGAAGAATTAGTCAGGAGCATGAAGTCTAGCCATGTGAATGTTGGAAACACATGGAGAAGCATGTGGAGTAGACTGACTTGCATTAAGCAGCAAAGTTCATGGAATAGTCTTTCAATAATATAACAACAAAATTAGATTAGATGTATTGTAGCATGTAGACTTACTATGGAATTACAGTTTTATAAAGGCACATAAGCCTGAAGACAATTATTGACCCTAGTCTCTCCTTGACTAATTTTCCTTCATCCCAGGGCCATGGATATGGGAATAAATATTTCCAGCATTTTCGGTTTTTATTTCAGATTTTCAGCACCTTTTGCTTTTGAAAAACTTTCCGCTACCAGCAGGACATTGATTGTGGTTGTTAGAGGTCAATCATCTTAACACCAGTACATCACTGCAGGACTTCTGAAGAGTCCTAGACTCAATCATCTTCAGCTGCTTCATCAATAACTCCTCCATTGAAAATGGGGATACTTCCTGATGATTGTACAGTTTTCACCATTCCCAACTGCCCAGACAATGAATTAGCCCATGACCATTATCAACAAGCCCTCACAAGCGCTTTATGGATAGTAGACAGGCTTTGGGGAGTCAGACATTACTCACTACAGGATTCCTAGCCTCTGACTTTGTGTAATCACAGTATTTACATCATTGGTCCAGTTCATTTCCTGGTCAATGGCAACGCCCAGAATGTTGATAATGGGTGATTCAATGATGGTAATGTCATTGAATGTCAAGGTCAGGGAGATAAACCCCTCTTGTTGAAGATACTCATTGCCTGGTAAATGTTTGGTCTGAATGCTTCTTGCCACTTGTCAGCCCTGCCCTGGATGCTGTCCAGGTCAAATATTTCTTCTCATTAGAATTCCTGGTTTGTATTTCGGGATAGATAATACCGTACAGTACCATATCAGAGAACCTTCCACAAAACATTCTTAGAGAGTCATAGTCATAGACAGCCATACAGCTCAGAACAGGCCCCTTCAGCCCATCAAATCTGCCCCAACCTGCCTACACTAAGCCCACTTTGCAGGACTTGGCCTATAGCCTTGAATGTTATGACATTAAGTGCTCATTCACATACTTCTTAAAGGTTGCGAAGTTTCCCACCTATCCTACCCTCCCAGGCAGTACATTCCAGACCCCCAACATACTGTAAATCTCTTGTCTTTCACCATAACATTATGCCCCTTTGTTTTTGACCTTTCAACTAATGGGAACAGCTGTTTTGTATTAACGCTGCCCTTCATGATCCTATACATCTCAGTCAGCGTTTTTTGCTGTAAACGACAACAACCCAAAATTATCCAGCCTCTCTTCATACAGAGATGCTCCAGTCCAGGCAACATCCTGATGAATCTCCTCTGCACCCCCTCCAGTGCAACCACATCCTCCTTATAGAATGCTGACCAGAACTGCACACAGTACTCTAGTGGCTGAATCTAAGTTCTATATAGTCCCAACATAACCTCCCTGCTCTTATAGCGTACATCTTGATTGATAAAGGCAAGTGTCCTATAGGTCTTTGTAACTACCCTACTAGCCCGTTGTGTTGTCTTGGGATCTGTGGATAAGCACCTTAAGATACTCGGTTCCTCTGAGCTTTCTACTCAATGAATACTTTCATCGAGTATTCCCTTGTCTTGTTTCTTCTTCCAAAGTGCATCACCTTACACTTTCAGGGTTAAATTTCATCTGCCACTGATCTGATCAGGCCAACTATATCCTCCTGTAACCTAAGAACTTCCTTACTATTAACCATAAATGTATCATCCACAAACTTATTTATCATTCCTCCTACATTCTCATCTATATCGTGTAGATATGTAAAAACAGTCCCAGAATGTTTTTTTTCCCCCACACTCATTCACAGAATGTAGGCATCGCTGGCTGGGCAGCATTTATTGCCCATCCCTTATTGCTCAGAGGGCAGTTAAGAGTCAACCACATTGCTGTGGGTCTGGAATTACATGTAGGCCAGTCCAGGTAAGGATGGCAGTTTCCTTCCCTCATGGACAATAGTGAGCCAGATGGGTTTTTCCATAACAATTGTCTCATGGTCATCAGTAGATGCTGAATTCCAGATTTTTATGGAATTCAAATCTCACCATCTGCTGTGGTGTGATTTGAACCTAGGTCCCCAGAGCATTATGTGTCTCTGGATTAACAGTCAAGCAATAATGCAACCAAGCTGTCACCTGCCCTCCGATTCCCTAAAGACCAGTCAGCCTGACATAATATGGGGGAAAACGCTAGAATCCATTTTCTACACTCTCTTGAAAGCAAGAACATCCATCCTCAGATAAGGTGTCCGAAACGGCACACAATATACCAAGTATGGTTTCACCAAGGCCCTGTATGATTGCGGGAGGACATCCCTGCTCCTGCACTCAGAGTCTGTTGCTATGAAAGCAAAAATACCATTGGTCTTCTTTACCTCCTGCTGCACCTTCATGTTTATTGTACGAGGATCGTAGGTCCTGCTGCTCTGTCCCTTTTCCCAATCTATCACCATTCAGATAATGCTGACTATCTTTTCCTGTCACTGCTTTTCAAGTGCTCTGTTATTAAATTGTTTACAATTGACAGTAGTATTTTCCCACTACTGATGTCACGCTAACAGGAAAATGTCGGTTTGTATGCAGAAGATAGGGTAGGGGGAAAGGAGTTAACGATAGGTGGGGATAGAGCCCAAAGAGAGAAAGAACAGTTGGACAGACAAAGGAGTTGATAATGATCTGGCGAGAGGGGTGAATAACTGTTAATGGACACTGTTGGTGGCTAACAATAGGTAGTGTGTAATAGCAGGCTATGTGATAACAAGTAAAAACCGAAAAAACTGCAGATGCTGTAAATCAGGAACAGAAACAAAGTTGCTGGAAAAGCTCAGCAGGTCTGGCATCATCCGTGAAGGGAAAAAACAGACTTAACCTTTCGGGTCCGATGACCCTTCCTCAGAACTGACGGTGGCTGGGAAAACATCAGTTTATATGCAGAGAAAAGGGAGGGATGTGCATGTGATAACAAGGTCTGGTTTGTGGGGTAAGGGGCGAGGCCATGCGAGAGTTCGGGCCTTAAATTATTGAACTTGATATGGAGTCCGGAGGGCTGCAGGGTCCCCAAGCGGAAAATGAGGTGTTGTTCTTTCAGACAAAAACCGAAAGAACTGTGGATGCTGTAAATCAGGAACAAAAACAGAAGTTGCTAGAAAAGCTCAGCAGGTCTGGCAGTAATCTATAAAGAAAAAAAATCAGAGTTAACGTTTCGGATCCAGTTCCGAGGAAGGGTGACCAGATCCGAAATGTTAACTGATTTTTTTTCTTCACAGATGCTGCCAGACCTGCTGAGCTTTTCCACCAACTTCTATTTCTGTTGTTCTTCCAGCTTGCGCTGAGCTTCACTGGAACACTGCAGCAAGCCTGAGACAGAGATGTTGGCCAGAGAACAGGGTGCTGTGTTAAATCGGCAGGCAACTGGTAGTTTAGGGTCATTTTTGCGAGCAGAACGTAGATGTTCTGCGAAGTGGTCACCCAGCCTACGTTTCGTTTCCCCAATATAGAGGGGACCACATTGTGTGCAGCGAATGCAGTGGGCTAGATTGTGGGAAGTGGAGGTAAAATGCTGCTTCACCTGGAAGGTGTGTTTGGGCCTTTGGATACTGGGGAGGTAAATGGGCAGGTGTTACACCTTTGCTGGTTGCAGGGGAAGATGCTACGGGGCTGTGGGGAGTGAAGGAAGAGTAGATCAGGGTGTCCAAGAGGGACTGGTCCCTGCGGAAGGCAGACAAGGGACAGGAGGGGAATATATATCTGATGGTGGCATCTCGCTGGAGGTAGCGGAAATGGTGTCTGATGATCTTCTGGATGTGGACGCTGGTGGGGTGGTAGGTGAGGATAAGGGGAACCCTATTGCTGTTGCAGGAGGGAAGAGAAGGGGTGAAGGCGGAAGTGCGGGAGATGGGTCTGACCCGGTTGAGGGCCCTGAGACAATGGTGCTGGGGAATCCTCGGTTGAGGAAGAAGGTGGACATTTCGGAGGCTCCCTTGTCGAAGTTGACCTCATCGGAACATATGCGATGGAGATGGAGGAACTGAGAGAATGGAATGGAGTCTTTACAAGAAGCAGGGTGCGAGGATGTATAGCCCAGGGAGCTGTGGGTGTTAATGGGTTTATAGTGTTTTCTCTCTAACCCCTTTTTAAAATAATGGAATTATATTGTCTAACCTCTGAACTGTAGGAACTGTTTCAGAGTCTATGGAATCTTGAAAGATGACACCAACGTATCTATTATTTCCAAGGCCGCTTCCTTAGGTACTCAGGGATGTAGATTATCAGGCCCCGGGAATTTATTGGCCTTCAATCCCATCAATTTCCTCAACACCATTTCCCAGCTAATACTGATTTCCTTCTGTGCCTCTCTCTCACTGGATCATGCATTCCACTACATTTTTGTGATGTTATGTGTGTCCTCCTTGTTGAAGATGGAACTAAAATATGTATTTAATTATCTTCTGTCTCTTTATTCTCCTTTATAACTTCTCTTTTTCTAACTGTAAGGGACGTACATTTCTCTTAAGTAACATTTTTTCCTTTTGCATACCTGAAGAAGTTTTTACAATCAATTTGTATATTCACTGCAAGCTTACTCTCAGACTCTATTTTCCCCTGTCTTAATCAATCCCTTTGCCCTCCTTTGTGGAAATCTTAACTGCTCCCAATCCTCAAGTCTGCTGCTTTTTTGGCTAATTTGTATTACCCTTCTCTGAATCTAATATTTCCCTAATTCTCTTGTTAGTCATGGTTGTGCTATCTTCACAGTTTAATTTTTGTGCCAGAGGGGAATGAGGAATTGTTGCAGTTCCTCCATGCACTCTTTAAATATTTGCCTTGCCTATTCATCATTATTCCTTTAAGTAGTACTCCCTGATTTAACACAGCCAGTTGGTGCCGCATTTAATTGAATTTCTTTTACTTAGATTCAGGACCCTAGTCTCAGTATCAACCATGACACTCTCCATTTTAATGAAGAGTTCTATTATATTATGGTTACGCTTCCACATGGGGCATCACACAGCTGGATTGTCAATTCAGAGATAGTAGGAACTGCAGATGCTGGAGAATCCGAGACAACAAGGTGCAGGGCTGGATGAACACAGCAGGCCAAGCAGCATCATAGGAGCAGAGAGGCTGCGATAGGGTTATGATGCTGCTTGGCCTGCTGTGTTCATCCAGCCCTGCACCTGGATTGTCAATTATTCCTTTCTGATTACACAATACCCACTCTAGGATGGCCTGTGCTCTACTTGTTTATTCAACATATTGATCCAGTAAAATATGCCATACACATTTCTTGAATTCTACCCCTATGGTATAGTTACTGTTTTGAACTGCCCAATTGTAAATGTAAGAGATAGGAGCAATTATAGGCTATACAATCCTGGAATTTAATCAGTTTATTTGTCTCTCATGATTTAGAATTGAAAAATTATCCTCTTATTCCTGAAGAGCTGGAAAGATTTTTACTGTAACTAACCAGGCAATAATAGGCCCTCTCTAGAGGCTGTCACATTTGGGACATTAAAGATATTATTTGAACATACGTTTACAAGCTGGGCCTTTGCACATCCTGCCCTCCTCCACAGGACCTGGACATAGTTGCTCTTTGTTCTGGTTGTCTGTGGAGCAGGTCCGATGACGTAATTGTACGCCTGTCTCCTCACAGGCTGCTGTGCAGGAGCCCCAGTTTGACCACTGGGACCAGAAATTCTGAGAAACTGTCGATCCTGAGGAAAAGATCAAACAATTGATTAGTTATGAATAGTTGTCCTGCAACATTAAAATTATTTAGTTCATATTTTAAATTTATCTTGGTTCACTTTTGCCTTACTTCTGCCAACACCACAAATCATCCACTTCTCAAAAAATTACCAACACCCTCAGATTTTAAATAAATAATTAGAAAGCCACAGAAAAACACGTCTACTTAAAATCAGAAAAGTCAACTTTTAAAGAAAGCTCAGAGATAGTAAGAACTACCATTGCTGGAGTCAGACATAACACCATATGGAGCTCGAGGAACACAGCAGGCCAGGCAGCATCAGAGGAGCAGGAAAGCTGA